GAGCCATGAGAGAACTCAGAACCAGCACACCATGGAAAGCAGCAAGGCCTTTTTTAGAACTTCCCATGAGTCATTTTCCCATACCAGCACCCTCCAACAGGTCTCCTCTGGTATATTTTAACCCATGGATCCACATGCCTTCTCAGAAGGTAATTGGACCCTCCAAACCTACATAAATAGTCTCCAATCACGTTCTCAGAAGGTATGTGGATCCATAGGGTTAGAGTTTGCACCCAACCTCCAGTACTCATATGTTCCCAACCTAGGAGCTCCAATGAGTCAGCTCTGGACTCTCATGACTCAGGTCACAGCGGATGATCATGGTGAACACCGGATCTATACCGTACAGGCGCGGTCGACGGAGTCGATGGAGTTCGAGGGACGTCTTTCCCCTCACTTCATGGACCCGCAAAAAAACATGGTGTTTTTTGTTTTACCATCATGAAACTATAGTTCATTTAAAGAAAAGGAGTCAACATGTCAACACCAGTACATAGAACAGGCATACCATCTGGTACCCCCAAAAAAAACGCGCGACCTCCATGGCTCGAGGACCCGCCCTCGATCTGGACGGTCACGAACGGAAGAACGAACCAGGAGTGAGTGGTTTGTTTAAGGGACTATACACTGGAATCATGAAGCTTCTTTCACAGGAAGAGGATGAAGAGCATTGCAAGTCGCAACTCCCCAGTGTTCTTTCCCAGACCATCCATGTATAGAATAGTGATGGCACATGTATAAGGGTAATGTTCATTCATTATCATTCCAGTCCGATGGTTTGGATTTAATCAGCCTCCGGAAAAGAACACAAGCAACATGCCGAGTTTCAGAGGACCTGGGACCATTGGTACAAGTTCCCGTTTTGATATCTCCCTATATATATGGGATCCAAGTACCTTCTCAGCAGGTGATTGGAGACACCGCTATGTAGGTTTGGAGGGTCCAAGTAGCTTCTGAGAAGGTACTTGGATCCCTAGGGCCCTAGGGTCTATATTGTATTCCTATATGTTCTAAGCTACTCTGGAGGGTCCAGGTGGGATGTCCATTCTTTCCAGCGGCGGGCCTCGGAGAAGGGAGCCACCATGTCTCGTCCATTCTGTCATTGTCCGTGGAAAAAAACACGGTTTGCCGGTGCACATGAGCCACAGCCATATTTGGTTACATCCAGCCACCCTGCTTGGTGCGAACATGGACGATGACTCGTTGAAAGGCCTCCTGTCCAACACCTTTGGCTGTACAGTCCTCCCTCGATTGAGCATACCTCACCTTTGGCACCTTTGGGTATGACTGTTCGCCAGTCAGAAGCCTCATGATCTCCCTTTTTTTCCGCGCGGTTTTCTCCACCCGTCGTCTCTCGTCGGGTCAGACGTCTGCAGCGTCTGGTCTTCGTCCGGACAGCGGTCCGGTGGACGTCGGACGGTCGGTGGGCGGAGCGAGCGGAGCGCAGGTCATTCGGCCCGACGCCCACAAGCTCCACGACGACACGTGTCGAGCTCAGCGAAGGAGCGACGATTCCGGGGGGGAAGGAGGCGACTCGGCGAGCGTTCGCAGCATCGACACGCAACGAACAAGCAACAGAGAGGCATGTGCCACGTCGCACAGCTGACGACTAGCAAGAAAAGTATGGATTTGCAATTGCATTTTAATAGGGGAACTGCTGGGGGCCCACCGGGCCCAATGGGTAGACTGTTCTATTTCCCGAACCTTCCATGGGATCGAACTGGGAGGTCTCCCTGTCTCCCTATTTTAATATATTTTAATCCATACTCATGTACCAACCACGGTCAGATGTCAGTCAGATGTCAGACTCACAGCAGGGCTGGGGCTCATGTTTTACATCTGGGAGAGTTTGATTAGGTGACCTAAGCAGAAGAGATTCGAAGAGAATTTGTCACGGGGTTGCTTATCCTGTTTGCGTTATCCAGAGCCCTCATGAAAAACCTATTTGTGTTTTGAAAGCGGCTCGTTCAAGAACTGGATGTTCTTTTGGCACCTAATCGTCCCTCTACTGATCACGCGCATCATGCAGGCACCTCCATTGCTTTATCCCAAGATATCCAGAATTTCTAGAAAAGAAGACTGACCCATGATTCCGGGTTGACTCCTGTCTATTTCTTGGCCAATGAGGTCCCGAAGTAGCTGCGGCTGGTGCTGTAGCCGATTGGCTAGGTGCCGTTGCAATGGACCATTGGAGAGTTGATCAACACGAAACGCAAAACATGTGTCAATTTGGGTGAAGTGAATTCGCGCCCATGTGCATCCATGTGCTCTGTGTCATTCTCGCTCCGACATGCTCCGACCACATGATGAAACACGGGTTTGGCCATCCCAGGAAGCCACGGCGGAAGCCACGGTTGTTCAGATATCGGTTCTTTTTGGATCCGTGGCAACTGGGTCGTAGAAAGCAAATGGTCAAGGTTCTCAACCACAGCTTGGAAGAGTAGTAAAAGTCTTAAGTGTCTTAAGGTCAGCTTTGACATGTGTTGACCATAGAATTCCTTTTACTATTGGGTTGATTACTGTAATTGATAGAGGGGATACCCCAAAGTTATTATATACAACCGTATACGGTACCAAATCGACGCCTCGACGAATTACCAAAGGGGCTGCATTGGTTGATGGCAACGACCTTCGCACTTCAGACCATTCTTCCATGGGTATCAATGTCATTACTGTTCTTAAGCGCCATCCACTGCTGCTCAACTGTTTGACCGCACAGAGAGTTAAAACCTCTTCAGCATCATGGTTCTTCAAAGTAACCAAAAGGCATGCAAAAAGACACAGAGACTCCACAGCTAGGTCACTTTGAAGAAGCTGGTGATCTCTTTTTGAAACACCATCTTCTAAGATAGGTCTACAGTATATCATATCCCATTCCCAGTGATACTGTGCATGATAGATCATGTATAGATCATGGTTCCAATCCGAGCATGTTTGATTGGTGAAGAAAAAGCGGAGACTCGGACCGTCGCCAGGTGCCTTTTGATCTTGTTCTTGTTGGTGCTCTTTGTGCCATGGATGAAAGCGATGGGTGAAGCGATCAGGTTCTCCAGCTTCGAACTGGAGCGGAGCACCACCCAGTTCGGGTGATATGTGTTTGAAGGAAACGACATATAGGGAGTCAGGTGGGTCTATAAACCACCCACACTCGGTGCTGGTGGAGAGTGAATTTGACACCAACTCTTCAAGAAACAGGAACTAAGCGACACCACGCGTACGCAGCGGTCAATCTGGTGCTAGAAGAGTTCGAATCTGCTTAGCGTGGTAGCTCATTTATTGCTTGTTGTAGTACAGGTACGGTAGCTTCCTAGTGGTCTATCCAAGAACATTAGATCGCCTGTTGTTGTGCATGCCTTTGTTTTCATTATTTGGTCAAAGTAATTGCGCAAGACTTCATCAGATGATTGGAAAAAGAAAGGTCATCGGATGATTGGCTAGGATGTTCAGGGCCTCACTTTCTCAGCTGGCTTAAGTTGGTTCAATCCCACCACACTCCACTTGTCATTGTTTCAATTGAACTCCCGTTGGGACCAATGGCAAACCGCTGGGCGAACCTCGAAAGCACCATTCATTCCGATCTCTTGCCCTACCCCTTCCCCGCTACTGGTAGTTGGCTTGCCCAAACTTCCATCCGCTACTGCCGCTGGATAACATGCAACTTGGCTGTGGGTCATGGCACCGTTGGCCCCTGGTTGTCGTTTTTGCCAGCTGGTCAACATCACCCTATATGCATTATCGGAATCGACCTGTTGCATTGGAAGGTCAGGATGGATGTGGTCCCATACCTATTATATATGTATAGTATAGATCTTCATTAGGCAATCATGTCCGCCTGAAGTTTAATTCGGCTGAACATTTTCCACCTGTTAAAAGAACAAGAAAAAACTTAGCTGCTGCCTCGAGGGTTAGGCAGACATGTTTGCCCAAGAAGAGCTTCATAGGTATCACCAAAGACCAAAGTGCCTCAGGTCTTGCCGGTCCGGGCGTCTTAGAGTGATGTTTGAACTGCGAAGGGAGAAGGGCCATAGGACGACTGGTGTGAAGAACACCAGCAGAGTCGTCTGCTTGTTCCCAGTTGACATGGAGCACTGGGACCTACGGTCAAAGATGTCGAACACAACGCAGGTGTACTCGACGTTGGTCATCGTTCGTTGGTCGCTGATTTCCTTGTATCATGATTCACCTGAGTCCGCAAAGCTGCGGACGATATATGACCTGATAGACTCACTATTGACTATATGCCCTTTTTTTGACGACAAACTGTCCAAACCAATCAACTGGGAGTGGACCATGAGACAGAAAATCAAGGGCCTCCAAAGAAGCCACAGCATCTCAAGACTTGTCTTGGGGACCCTTTGGCTATTACTTCTTGAGTAATTAAAATATTTGAATTTGGACAAGCTGTTGCTGTGCACCATTGCTTACTCAATCGCTTTGCTTGACTGTATGGAGGTGTTTTCCCAGAATGACGGGGTGTTGAAACTTGAAAGTCGACTCTTTCAATGATCCGTGGAGAGTCTTGCAGTGTGGTCGGCCTTGGCTCAGACCCTTGAGGTTTAGGTCAAGAGTCAAGCAACATTCAACTGCTAAGCAAAAACCTCCCACGTTGCGGTTCAACTGAGAATGTGGAAGCGGGTCATGGAACCAGGAGACCGACCGGTTGACCTACCCAGAAGGTCAAGTGACATGGACCAGAACTCCAGGCAGCCCGACTCGTCGCGCATGTGAGTCCATCAGTTCAGGATCAGCATGGCCAGGCAGCTTGCTTCCGGCTCCGAACAATACACCCAGGAAGATGAACATGGAACCTGGCATGGACCCTGGAAAAGAATCCTTTCCCCAAAGCAGCGTTTTTGTTGCTGGTTTCATGTGGGTGAAACATGTGGGTCGACCTCGGTGTCAGTGGTTGCAAGCGAGTTCAGCCCAACTCTCATGGAGTGTCCACAGCCATTGATACCTGCCCTACGCGCCTTGAAAAAACATCCTGAGTCACAGCCACTGATACCTTCCACAGCCACTTTGATCATTGACACCGGCCTGGCTGATGGCTGATGGCTTCAATGGCCAAGTATGCGGCCTCCAGCGGCTTCCTGCGAGAGAAGGAGGTTTGCCGCGTGGCGCAGCTTTCGCGCAGTCACCAGGTCCACAGCTGTCCTTGTGAAGATGGGAGGGCCTTGTCGAGGGAGGGAGGTTAGGACAGGTTGACTGGTGAGGATGTTATTTGGATAATTTGTCTTGCAATCCGAGGGTACTTGGGATTACCACTTCAGTTAATGTGGCGTTTTCTCATGTCCTATCCCAGAGATGGTTTCTTGATGGACAGGAACAAAAGCAATTGAGGAGTCGTCTCGCTGTTTGCTCGCTGTTTGTCGTCTCCACGTTTTTCTTGCGCTATGGATCCACTGGCACCCTCCTATCGGTGACGTGGTCGACACTGAGACGGTGCCAGGGTCGGGTCCAGTCATACCATTTCGAAGGTGGCTATGGAGGGATACTGTAGATTTGTGAGTGCTTGAACCAAGCAAAAATGAGCAAATCCAGACTCAACAAATAAGCAAATCCAGATTCAATCAAACAAAATTCAGACTCAAAGCAAAACTCTTAAACAAAAACAACCAATTATATCCAATTATTGTGTTTGTGTTTTTCTTGAGTGTGAATGTGTGTTCTTTTTGTTGTTTTTTAGTATTTTTTTTTGGTCATTCTTGGTTTGTGTTGTTTTTGTGTTTGCGTGTGTTTGTTTCGTTGTTTTTTGTGTTCTATTGTTTTCTTGATTTTGGACTAGTTTGGGGAACTAGAACTTACTAAGGATAGATTCGATAGATCCTCTTAGGGGCAATTGCTCGAGCAATTGCTCGCTTCGGGGCTTCGCCCGGGTGAAAACGGATGCGATGGAGCCTTTTTTTTTGAATTTCCTTGCATAGTTAGTGTATCAGCTGTTAAAATTGATTGCACGTTGATTCCTTGTATCAGCTATCAGCTGTATTTGGAATTTCCTTGGAAATGTCATCCTTGATATAGTCGATGTCTGGTTTGCTGTCCTTTGCACCTGGTGAAAGCCACTTTGATAACTATAGTCTGTCACCGATACTGGAACGATCTCCAGGAAGTACACAAATCGACCAAACCTCCCCCCCCTGCGAGTATCAATGACAAATTTCAACCAGAGTCTTGCAGCATGCAGATTTCTCTTGTTTTCAACCTCTACAAGTGTTTGTTCGTGGAAACCTGCAGTCTTGAGTCTTTCTGTAACAGTTCATCCATCAGACCCGGCGGTTCACGGCCGTGAACCTCCAGGAGTGCTTCGAACAGGGCCACTTCTTGCTGCACCTGTGCCGTGGTGGAACACACCGGAACACGGCGTCAACAGCGCCTTTGGGCTCTTTGGGGATCCAGGGAGTTCTGAAAGTCTTCGCATGAATTCCTCGGATCTAAATTCTGATCTCCACAGGAATCACCTTCCAGGAACCTCTGAAAAGGGATCCTCTGAAAAGAAAAGAACCTCTGAAAAGCCAGAACCTGGGATCATCTCCAGAGGGTTCTTCCCACTTCCCACCTTTTCTTCCGGTTTCGGAGATGATCCTTTTTCTTTCAGGCCCCAAATCACTTGGATCTCGTGGACAGGAACATCGAACAAACGATGAGCAAGAGGAGAACATGCTGAAGTTCTTTCAGGGCAAGCTATCCCAGCAGCTGTTTGGGTGTGGTGGTCGGAAATCTGGGTGGGTTGACCGTCTCCACTGCGGTCAAACATGCTCAGAAGTAGTTGATTCCAAAAGTCACAAATAACTGCTTGGCAGATCGCTTGAAGCGTTGTTTTCTCCGAACTTCAATGCTAGAAATTCAGCCGTAGCTTGATGTAGCTTCCCACTGAGGAGCAAGCATGGACCCCCAAAACCTCCCCAATGTAGGTATATAAGATATGTATGCCATACATGGAGTGTCTGGGTTTGACTTGCTCTTTTCTGTTTGTTCATCACTTCTTGTCGCTTTAGCATGCTTCGGCCATGTTGCATGGGTCGACCAAATATGACTTTCTTCAATCAATGTTCTTCCGGTCCAAGCCCCTCCCACACGTGTGTGGATTGACTTGAGAACAAAAATCCCTTTTCCACCGATCTCCTTCCTCACTGCGCGGTGACTCCGTGCCTGCCGGTCGCTCAGGAGCTGCAGGACGCATCAGATGTCCAGGCTACAGAAGGACTGAAGAACCGATGGAAGATGGATCGGTGAAGAAGGGACAAAATCCAGTGAAGTGACGGGACAAAGCACTTGCATGCGATGTTTTGGAAATGGCCTCCAACCTAATCCCATACACTCCATGGGACTGGAAGAAAATAGCCGCCCCAAACCAACCCCCCAGTCAACCACCCCTGGCCTGATCGGCAGTCCTATGGCAGTTCCATTAGTCGCGTCTGGGAATAGCGGCCTCCGCCGTATTGACGTGACATGCCGGCTCCAAAGGGACGAATCAATCCATGTTTCCGTCCTGCACCATGCATGGGTGATTGAGTGGCGCTCGGTTGAGATGGGGCAAGTTTCAGGCTTCACACCGAGCCAAATCGGGATTTGGCTTCACTCGAAGTGGAGGTGGAGTTCACCTCCACCACGTGGAGGTTGATATTTGGAGAATATGTATTTTTTCTCCAGATGCCTCTTTGGCCAATCCAAGCTTTGGAGTTGGGTGGTGGGAGTTAGCTCCCATGGATGTGATGGGGCTTTGGGGGGGCGCCAACGTCTCCTCTTGGAGCACCGGAGTCTGCTGGATGGTGTTTTGATGGGTCCCATAGACTTGACTATGGATGGGTCCCATCAAATCTTCCATGTTTTCGGTTGTTCGGTTTTTTCGGAAGACTATGGGTTCGTTCCAAAAGACTGGGTGGAATGGAATCCCCTCCCCCCAATGCTTGGAAAGATCTCTACTTTCTGTTCACCGCCTTCCTTACCCGGTTCTCACTTTTTCATATCTTTTAAAAGACAGGGCAGCAGGTTGCTGACTGGGAAGCAGCGAGGCACGCCTGGGGAAGATTCAACAGGGGTTGAAGACCCTTTTGGATTATAATGTATAGATAGACTATCCCATACAGGTACCCCTTTAGTTGTGGTCACCAATTGAGACATGTTAGGGTCCAACAACCCTCAACTAATAGCCTGGAGGGTGGTATAGGCACCCCTGTGACGTTGTGGTCACTGAACTTTTTTCCGCGACTTCGTTCCGATCGAACCCTGGGTCGTTGGAAGTCCCGCGCGTGGAGTCCGTGCCTCCGCCGGGTGTGCGGCGTGCCCCGCAGGAGCGCACACCGCGCGAGGAACTCCTCAGCCGGATGGCCAGGAAGCTGGCAGGCTGTGTAACTCGGCTGTGTCACAGGCGTGATAGACTGCGAAATTCAAGATTCATATGATTTGTATAATGCTATAATGGTTTTATGGGGGAAACGATATATGGATGTGGTCATTGATTAGTCGTGCGTGTGATTAGAACTGGGTGGGGTGATGTCTCCGGAGGGCACGCAAGATATGAGACGTGAAATGAGATTTCACAAGTAGTGTTCCCAGACGCGACTAATGGAACTGCCATATATGCCGATCAGTTGGGGTGGTGCCACGGGGGTCAATGTAGTCATGTATTCCAGTCCCATGGAGTGTATGGGGTTACTGTATACATCACTTTGCATGGTTCAGTTTTAGACCAATGACATGGCGGCCTGTCGCAAAGAGGGCGGCGAAAAGAAAACTGCACACAAACACATGCTTTGAACAAGAAATCCACCGGACAGGCTTGGACTCTTCGGACTCTTGCAGCTTCGGACTCTTTGGACCTCACAGAACATCCTAGTGCTGCCACTGCGCAGGTTTCAGGTCCTCGCCTCTAGGGGATGCAGGCTGCAAGCATAACTGCAAAGAAGAAAGGGCTGCAATCAAGGATGCACTGCCCACCACATTCTTTCAAAGCAGACTCCAGTCAAGAAGCTAAGCCTCAAGCATGTTCCCAAAGCGAGGTTGGGGAACTTGCAGAAGAGGAACGAGGAACCATTTTACGTCGCTTCCTGCCAGATCCTCTCGCGGGCGGAGACCGGCGCCACAGCAGCCAGCTGAGCATGCCTCGCATGCCAGCTGCTTCAACCATGCTCTTCCGGCGCTCGTGGAAGAAGGATGCACTTGTAGTTGCTGATGTGGAATACATGGACAGCGTGTGGACGAGATCAATCCGCAAGACATTTACAAGGACCAGTCCTGGCTCACACCGAAGCCTCAAGTGGCTGCTGGGGAAAGAATGTGCGAAATCTATCGAAATGTCACTCACATCATTGACTGTACAAGACAATAGGAACCCATTTCTGCAAGAACAAGACTTGCGTGATCAACTTTCACAAGACCCCAAATGTACGTAATTGAACGTTCACCGTTGGGGCAGATATGCACCATTGACCGAGCCTGCCAGTCGCAAGAACAACATCATGAATTGTTCGTAACCAACTTGCCTTTCAATTATCAAAACATCAATTACATGTTTTACATGTCATATACTCCCTAGGGCGACTTCACCATATCCTCAGGTTCGGTGGTTAGACCCTCCTGGCACCCACCCTTGTCCTATCTTCGAAACGGAGGTGGGCCAGGAGCCCTAGGGACTGTAAGAAACACAACATCAAACAAAACATTTTAAGAAAATTAACATCTCCACAACACGAGAAAAAGGCCAACAAGATGATCGGCTGCACCAACTACCCCCTCCGTCTACCCAACTTGTTGTATCTTTCGAATACGTCAATCGAATTCAGATATCGAGTGTGCAGTGCAGACTGAGCATATTCTCGCTTTTGCGTTGTTTGTTGGTTGTTTGAGTGCGGCCAGTCTCATTGCCTTTAGCCACTACATGCCACTAGTCCTTCCTTTGAGAAAGACCGGAGCATATATGACACTAAGAAGGCGCAATGAGTGGCGCAAGGGATTAAACCAAGTCAGTTCCAACCAGACACTTCACACGCCACACGCGTCTTTCTTTTCGAAGGGTGGCACCGGGCCCACCCATCCTCACGTCGGGACGGCATGGCTTCGGTGGCTGCACCGTCTAAGGCAATGGAATGGGTCCACCAATACTAGTTATTTGATGTTATTTGCCAGGGAATCGTCCGCCACCTTCTCAGACTCGACGGGATCCTTCGGATCCTCCACACATCATATAGAAACTGTCTCCGTCCTCATCCTCTCAGAGGGTGCCTGTGGATATCCGGCATGTGATTTGTTGTTGGAAGCACTGTGTGTTTATCGTGACGAGCACTCCAGCAGTCTGATCATAGAATAAAGAGGCCCAAGGTTCGTTTGACATGTCTCTTAGCTTTTGTGTCAAGTCCTTGGGTTCCGTGCTTTTTGTTTCTTAATTTATTACGTGAAGCAATCCCTTGTGGGAGGAGAACCATTGGCAAGTGGAGGAACCCAAATCATGTTGAGACACCCCCATGCAACGGTTGGTTGCTTGGTCGGTTGGTTGATTGGTTGGTTAGTTGCTTCATGTGAAACGCTCAACCGAGAAAAAGACGGCTTCTGACGAAACAAGTCTTGCTGGATCCAGAAATGCCTCTACAACAAAAAGCATGCAATTGTCCACCAACGCGGGGACATCAACAGATCAATCACCAGGTAAGAACTTGTTCTGCCACGTCCTGTTGCGAACCGCAGCAAAGCGGCGACAGACTGGCGATGTGTGCGATTTGAGGTGCGGAATCCCTTGATCTCGTTGCACATCGAGGAGCCCAACCCGACCGATGTTGACAGAGACGGGTGCCTAAAGGAAGTGGGTTCCAAGACATTCATTTAAGTAGCTGTTGCATTACTTGCAGCAGGTGTTCCTTTTTTAGTGTGGGAATCGGACACACAAAAAGCCATCGTTTGTGTCACTGAGGAAGAATGCACAGTGGCCTTCTATTAGGGGGATGATTTCATGCGGCAGTCATCTCGCATACGACGTTCTTTCAGACTTGACGATGGCATATATTGGATCTTAATATCATACGTGCTAGCAACATTGCTCATAACTGATATACGCCCTACGCCTCCTATCCCCAGAAGGTAGGGACTGATCCCCCAAACGCACTCACCCCAACCAGCTTCTCCGAAACGGAGGTAGGCCAGGAGCCCCCAATGTTGTTGTCCATCTCTTACCCAGTGAGTGGATAACCTGCCCAACCTTTTGTGGAATTGGGGACACCCCACAACAATCCAATCCAACAGGTGGAGGTCAGTTTAGCCTGCACTTTCCAGGCAAACGGCTTCCTTGGATCAGTTACGGCAGAAGACAGTACGTCAGACTCCAATGAACGCCCAACCGTCAGTTGTGGGTCAAGGTTCAAAAGTCCAGGCCCAGGGGCGCTAAGGGTGGCAGAGTTCGATCCAAATCAATCGAACGAGCCATGACTCTGGAAGTCTAAGACTACTAATTTAAAGATGGTCTTTGGGCAACCCCTAAGAGGAATTGTTTTACTTAAGTGATGTATATATTTTGTCTTGGGACTTCGAGGGAAGAACTTCTTGGATCTTCTTGGTGCCAGAAGTGCTGCATGTTGAACTCGAATAGGCCTGTCCAAGCGGGTCCAGCCCTTCGGATGAAAACAGTTTAACTCTTCCAGCGACATTCCCAGGAGTCACGGGCGCTGGAGGAGTTGTTCGAGCCCGTGCTGAAGGTCCTGAGGCGAACGGCGAAACAAAAAATTCAAGACACGGAGGCACATTGGATCGAATTGTTTGGGTTTAGCAAGAAAACAAGTCGAAAGATGTTGATCTGAACCATGTAGGTCAACATATAGGTGTCCACAGGTTTGGCATGCCATGCCATCTCTGTGTTTGACTGGCCGCTCCCAATCGTCACAGGGGCGCCAGCCAGTTGCAAAGCTTGCAGCTCTTAAACCTGGCCACGAGCCCCATCCGCGCCTCCATGCCCTGTGGGCGAATGGAGCTGAAGCACATGCACCAGCTGGTGGACAGCTGTACCAGCTGGTCTGGAGGCAGCTTTCAGGGGGAATGAGTGCATCCCAAAGTACATATGCCAGGGGGGTGCCATCCGAAATCCAGATTCGGAAGAATATCGGACTCAACTGAGACCCACCTTTGTAAAGTGCCCCTATGGCAGCCCCATCTTCCAACCAGTTTTCCGGCTTCCGGTGTGGGTCAATACCTGCGTTTTGTTCCGTCCCTGTCGATGTCGTCCCTTCTGTTCTGTTTGCGGTGACGTCGTTCGAAGTCCACGAGACCACACGCATTCCTGGTCAGCCCGCTGAGGAGACCCCCCAAAACCAGGAAGCCTTTCTAGGTACCCACGAAAAGTGTTTAATCTGACCTGACCAAGCTTTTTTTTGAGGGATTTGATTTTGTCCTACTAGAGCCATCCAGCAAGGTGCTATTTTTGGCACCAGACCCTTCTTTTTCCAGGTGTGAACTTGAGAAATTCGCCACATATAGAACTTCGTTACGGCAATAATAATTGCCGTTTTCATGAAACGTCGCCTTTTTCCGTTCTGCGGCGTTCTTCCATATTGATCTCATGGGGACGGCGTTTCTTGATGAACTGCGGCAGTTTCGGTCAGTTGACGGCAATTTTGGTCCACACATCCATGCGCCTCAAAGAGTCATTTCGTTTTAGTTTTAGTGCAGGCGAGTATGAAAACATTGTAGGGTCTTGCTTGAAAGGCAACTGAACGTAAAAGGCGTCTTATTATATCAGCAAACTCGCATAGTCATGTGAAGTGGAAAGGGCAGCTGATGGAAGTGTCACATGCTGGGTTTTCGTCGGTTTTCGCGGGTAACTCGACCTCTTGCGCGGCGTTGCAGAAGACTTTGCGTTTAAAGTTACGGCGTTCTTACCCGTACTTGCGGCGTTTTTCCCCGTACTTACGGCGTTTTTCCCCGTACTTACGGCGTTTTCCCCCTACTTACCGCGTCGTTCCCTTACCCTGTCTAGGGTCACTCAAGGTGGCAGCAAGACTTGAAACAACATGTCACAACGATCCTTTCAGCCATTGCATCATCAAAATGTGAACAACCCTGCCGTGATGTCAATCGAGACCTTAGACAAGGGCTGCAACATCTTGAGAATTGCTACCATGAGGCTTGAAAACGATGAGCTCTACTTACAAGTGAAAAAGGAGAAGGCAATTTCAGGGTATGGACGGACCAAAACAATATCCTCTCTGGTAGATCAAACAAAACGGCGATTCTTTTGTGACGGCGTTTTCACTTCTCTGACGGCGTTTTCACTTTCCAGGGATTGAGCTACGGCAGAAAAAATGAGTTACGGCAAAAATTATTGCCTCAACAGCCTACGGCAAAAATTATTGCCTCGGGAGGGTCTATAGGTATGATATTAGAGGGTGGAGGCCCTACGCTGCGGGCGTGGAAGTTCGACCTTGTTTCTTACGGTGCTTAATTCGTTTGTTTGGTTGCGTTTGAATTTCAAGCTCCCTGTTTTTTTTTGCCATTCCGACCTGAGCGTCAGCGGGCGTTGTCGGGCGTTGCTATGTTTCATGAAGAGATGGGTGCAAAAAAAAAGGTGGACAGTTCGGTTCACGCTTTAAGGTTTCTTTTCCCGACATCGAAAACGGATCGGCTGAATTGGCTCATCTACTGACTGGTTGTGCGACTGGCACCACTGCAGAGCCTCACTCTAGGCCTCACCGAGCTTAGCCTCGCTGCGGGTGAGTGGTCCTGGCACGCTTTGGTGCATCTCTTCCATTCGTTGGCGCCGGGCGCGGGCGCGCGGGTCCAGAGCTTGAAGCTGCGGGGTAAGCTTCCACTGGGCCCAAGGACCCAGGGCTTGCCGACACCTGGCTTTCGGTGGCGATCCAAGCGAGTTATGTTCATGGCAGGGTGTCTCATATTTGGTCAGCTATTGAAGGATGTGGAATACATGGTCACAGGAGTGAATTCGAAAAGGATATATAACTTTTGATGTCTCATATTGAGACACCGAAAATATCGGACATGTGTTGTGCTTCGGGTGTGCAGATCATGGACCATCAAAGTGGAGAGACTATCTCATTTGATGGTGTCTAATAGAGCAGACGTACCACCTCGGCGGTTCTGAACGTATAATGATCGTCCCTGACAATCCCTTTCCGGAATAGCCTTTATGGAGCCCTTTTCAACCACCCCTTGCCTGATATTTCTAACTACGCCAGTCCCACGGATGGTCTAGACTAGTTCACTTAGAGCAAGACCCCAAGGTGTGAAGTGTTGCAGATCGGTAGTTCTTGGAAACTGTTCCGTTTGCCAACAAATTCACTCACACTTTGTGGGGGTCCAAATGAAGCTACTTCCGAATTGACCGATGGTCTTGCACATCGGATTCCAGAGATGAATTTGGTCAAGTTCAAGCACAGATGAGTTTGGTGGATGAGTTTGGCAACACAGATGTGTGACTTTTTGGGAGCTGGAGATTCCTCAAAAAATTCACCCACGCCAGCGGTGGATTGATGGAGGACTGTTCCATTGTTCCATGTTGGGAGGACCAGGCTGATCATCTTTCTTGGGCCAGTCATCAAAAGCCAGTCCCAGGAATGGGCAGTATGTGAGGGTGGATGCTGAAGATACTAGCGCCAGATTGGAGACCGCCCTTCACGTGAAGGAGAGACCGAGCAGTTCTTCAGGGGCTGATTTCTTCGACCAGGGCCGACCACGTTGCGCCAAACGGAACTACCCGCCTTTGAGTCCCAACGCATTCCCAACGCATTCCCAAGTATTGCTTCCTGGGTCAGCACTGTGAGTGAATCCTGACAGGCAAGCCTCTAAAGTCCACGTGCTGGCGTGAATTTGCACCACTATAGGCCATGCAAGTATAAAGGATATATGTTGTTTTGTGCTATGCAGTTGAATGATGCAGGAGGGTAGCCAACTATCCTTGAACAGGTAGAAGGTCAAACGTCGCAGGAACACGGTCCCAGCTTAAACAGCATGACTCGACCTACTTTGAGATCGTTGAGACTTCGAGAAACAGAGGTGGGGGATCAATCATGAAGAAGCTTCGAACAGTCGATGGTCGCAAGCCTTGTGTGTGTGTTGATCCTGCTGAGCCTATTATATAGATCCTGCTGAGCCAGTTGTTTTGTTTTCCCCAACACGTGGTTTATCCTTAAGTTGTTATGGGTTTGTTGGTGGAGGAAGCTGCAACTTGGAAGCTGCTCTATCACTGCTTGCCCTCTTGCTGGCTTTCATTGGACAAGACCAAGACCACTTGTTTGCATAACTTTGTATGTACAATTGTTGTTACGCTTCATTGGGAACCCCATATTTTGCTCACTGATTTTATCTCAGTGAAGCTTCTTGCATAAGCGCATATATAAAGACTCCCTACAGGGCATGGAGCAAATTCTATGCTCCCATTCTGCCAGATTCTACACCAGCCTTGGTTTGTTGGTGTTTTTGCCTTGCCTTCTTTGGACCTTCCAGTTTGGAGTATCTTGTTGTTCAACTTCTGGCCCAACGTTCCGTCCTCTCTACACATTGACTCCCAGGACTTCTGCTGGCGCGGCGCGCGGATCCATTCCGCCGAGTGTCTGGAACGCTTAAGCCGCGCGCTCCCGAAGGCCACTATGGTCTTTAAGATGGAGGTGTGCGGCGTTTTTGCAGGCAGGATTTCAACAGAGCGTGGCGGAGAAGGGCGGCAAAACCGGACACCCAGATCAAGAGCAAGCTGGGGAAGAGCGCTTTTTAAAGCGAGGGTTTTTTCTTTGAAGTTTCAGATTCTAGGATATCGATTGATGTTCAAGACAAAAAGCAATACTGTATTCCAACAGCTAGAAACAATTTGCCACTTGGACACCCCCGACATTTGGTTTCTGGGATTTTGGAAGCTTAATTAATGGCAGTCTGAAGGTTCCGGGTGTGCATGAGATGGTGGAGGGTCAGGTTAGTGGAATGACACAAAAGATGCAACAGAAAAAAAATTCCAAAAAGGGTGAAACAAAGGTGGGAAGGTCCCCCCCAGCTGTGTTTCTCAAGCGGATGTGCGGTCTTTACTGTGTCTTTTGATCAAGCTGTTCCAATGTTGTTTTAATTGCATGGTGGTTGATCACGATACTTTCCCCACAAACAGGCTTCCATCGGCCGCTTTCCGCTGACGCTTGCTGCAGACACGTGCAAACAATGGTTCCGTTCCGTCACCCTGTTCCACGTGGAACAGAGTTAACTGAAAACCCTGTGACTAAGTGTGTTTTATCCGAAAACAATCATACTATCACATACTGTGCTGACGTTGGAAGATTTCCAGAACGTTCTGAACTTCATCCCTGCAACGGAATGTCCGACTTGGTGACTATACCCAGCCGTTGAGACTGACCCACCTGGCGGCGGGCTGGCCGAGGCCCGTCCAGCGAAGAGATCGCCGCCTTCGCGCAGCTGCGCACGTGGCCACGTCAGGTCTGGACTCGTCCGCACGCGGAGTGGCAGCTGCTGGCCGCCACGACGCCCGACAGTCGATGCAGCGAGGTGGCCGGTGCTGAGGTTCTTTTTGGGGCGGGCGTTGGGTGGTGAAGAAACGTCGGAGAGTGGATGACGTGTACAGTACATGATTCAGTTGTGGACGTGGACACTGGCATCATCACCCATTTAACTGTTTTTATCCACCTGCCAGGTGAGTGAGGGCCGTAGATTATATCAGAACCGTCACGTCCCGCCTCCTTATATCTCCCGGTCCTCAACCGCGAGCGCTAGATCACAGTGGGCACCTCTGGACCTTAACAGATAGAATGCAATGTAGAATGCCAGCATTTATGCGATATAGAATGCCAGAACAATACAAATGGCAGTGCATTTCTGGCAGATAGAGTGTCAGCATTTATGGCAGGTAGAATGTCAGAATATATGCCAGGGCCCATGCCAGAACATTTGCCACATAGAATGTCGAAATAATGTCAGAAGATATGCCAGAAACATGGCAGACATAATGTCAGAAAATATGCCAGAGACAATGGCGAAATAATGTTGCAATACATGCCAGAAAAATTGTCAGATTGAAATGTCATGGTGGGGATCACTCGAAGTAAGGTAATTTGTTTCACTTTTCAAGGGTAACTCGAAACATATTGAAACATATAGGGGCATTCTGTCTTGCACATATTTGCGGCATTCTATTTGGTATGCATTCTGGCAGTCTATCTCGCATATTCTCTTAGATCTCTTCTGACATTCATTCTGGCATTCTACCTGGGATATCTTATTTGACATTCTTTCCGGCATATCTCTTGACATTCTTTCTTTTCTGACATTCTACCTGGCATATCTTCTGCATATCTTTTGATATGTTTTCTGACATTCTTCCTGGCGTTCTATCTGGCATATCTTCTGACTCGCGGTTGAGGTCCGGCGGGGAGGCACAAGTCCAACAGACTTGAGCTCTGTTCTTATCGTATGGCCAAACGTTGCGCTTTTCGGGCTGTCAAACCTGCCAAATGGATTCAGCAAAACGTATAATTCTTCTGGTGCAACCGCCCTTTAGACTTTTCTGTTACCTGAGCCATGGAAGGCCATGTCACGAAAGATTTGGAGGAGCTCATGGGCCAGAACGACATTGGTGTCTGTTTGAGGTTGGAGAAGGTATGCCAGCAATTGAAGACGCACAAGATGATGTACTTTTGTGTGTTGCAGCCACAGCAGGTTTTGGTGCACCCCAAGAACAGGGGTGGCATTATGCTGGGCATGCATGATGTCCGCTATAAGGGGCGGAGGTGAGCGCGCCGCCCAACGTCGCCGACGCTGAATCTTTCCTGTTGCCTACCCAGCGCGCGATGTGTTGAGTCAACAGGGGCAGCGAAGCGACCTGCCAGGGAAGACGCTAGAGACCCAGCTCAGAGCCACAATAGAACAAAAACTTCCACACACTGCTTTAAATATTGAATTGTTTCTCAGATTATGATAAGATAGGATGCCCAGATATTTGCCAAACAGAATGTCAGAACATATGCGTGGTAGAATGCCAAAATGCGTGCCAGATAGAATGCCACAATATATGCCAGATAGAACGTGAAAATATCTGCCAGACATAATGCCACACTATATGCCAGATAGCTTGTCATAATTCAGAATATATATTCCAGATAGAATGCCAGATTGTATGCCAACAATTACACTTGCAATTCATTTTAAACACGTCTGTTGATTGCCGAACAAGTGTCGATATACATGGCAAAACACATGTCAGAACCGAAGTCATGCCAGAACACGCGTCAAAACATTGTGGCAATCCACATGTCAGGCCGCGTTTGTCCAAATAGTTTGTCCCTGCCTTCTTCCAAATTGCCTCTCAGGGTGGGGATCCCTCGAAGTAAAATAATTTGTTCAGGTTCTTAGTGGTGAAGGTTTTTGTCCAGTGACTGTTTGCAGCATGACCCATGTGCTTACCTCAAAGCAGGACACTTGACCGGTTTTGGTGTGATGGTTGTTTCGGGTGGTTGACTCTATTCAGCCATCAGCAGGGGAAATCTTTGGGTTGTTGAAAATGACAACATCCGACAACTCAAATGTATCACCTCGACAATTTTTTGGGTTGCCGAAAAGGCACCAGGCCCCGCAAAGATATAAACCAAATATAAACCAATTCCCACCGTTCCCACCCAGTTCCCACCGCGCGCCCTTGGACGCACTTGCCTTTGGGACGGAAGAATCTCAGTTGGTACGTCGGAAATGGGTCCAATTGGCTCTCCGAAACGGCGTGCTCTTAGTCGCAAACAGTCCTTTTGTTTAATATGTATATATTTGTTTTTTTCTAAACCACTAAAGGTTAAATGGTTAAACCTTTAGCAAAGGACATGGACAGCCAAATGCAGTCGTGGTTTTCTGTATGATGGGGTCATGTCCCATCTTCTACAATCATTTGGAGGGTCTGCGTGATCACGTTCGCACTGTTGCGCTCTAAGGAACTTTGAGGAGGCGGACATGTTGCGTGTCATGCAGAACTTGTACTTGGAACCGCTGAACGAAGCGGAGGTCTCTGCCGCGAGACCAGTGGACAATGCCAATGACCTTGCTGACTTCATATAGCATCTATTTGCAGATCGGAAAGATCTTTGGGGCCCCTCCAGGATAGGCACCACGATATGGCTGCTGGACAAGACTATATGATTCAGACTCAGTGTTATCAATCACTAGCTGGGTGAGACAAAGTCACCCACGCAGTGGAAACCATATCAACAAGGGTGTGGAAGCTAGCGCCAGCACGGTGGTTGATTTCAGCACAATTACTGCAACTTAATTAATGGAACGTGTGTGTGAGAGTAGAGCAATGAGAATCCTTTGCACAAAAAACATACACTTATGGAAGAGGAATAGACTGAATCCCACTAAGGATGATACTTGTTGTTTTAGCAGGAGAAACATGCGAAGGAAACTATGTGTGCAACGCAGGAGGGATTAGAAGATGATTAGTGGGAGGTTTCACTACCAAACATGTTTATATTTTAAACACAAGGGGAAGGCTGGGTTTAATAATTGAGGTTGAAGATCCTTGTCAGCTTGTCCAGCGGAAACCATTGAGAAAAGGATGAAGTTTGGGCGCAATTTCAAGCATGTGTGTAGTCGACAAGGGTCTAATTAGATCACACTTTGTCAAATAAGATCAACATTAATAGAGTCATGGAGCAATGATCTATTGGAGGTATTACGTGGTATTGGTACAAAGAATTACGCGGCTTGTGCAAGGATCTAGTTCTGCTCCTGCTTCATTCTCATTTGCTAGACCCCGAAGGAGCGGGGACCAAAACAGAAAATCAAGATAAACTATATATACTATAATAGAATCGACTGTCAAACGACAGCTCTATGCAGCATACGCCAAACAAACATAAACAAACAAACCAACAATGTAACAACACTGTTTCAGACAGATGCGTTGGTGCCCCCAAATAACAAAAGGCCCGAGTTGCATAATGTTTGTAAACGTATTGTTTGATATTGTTTGAGTTTGCTGTCCCCTAAGGGCCCTATTCCGCGGAATCTAGCCATTGAAACACAACTTTGTAAAAGATAGTGCTTCTTATTGAGTTGCTCTAGCTTTTGCTTTTCCCTTGTGAAAGGTGCTCAAAACTAGGTATTGGAAAGGTTGATAGAGGAAACACAGCACCATGGTTTTGAAGACCAACCTGGTTGGCTGCTGTTTCCATTTCGCAGCCGCAGCCCCGATTGGTCCATATATCCAGATCTTGTCCATTGCTCCTATGGCATATGGGACCTATTGAATTTTTGGGGAGGGGTGATGTCGTGTCCACCTAACATAGGCAAACATGATGCAAACATGATACATGACAGTTCTGTTCTCTTTGCTACACCATGATTGTGGGGTATGCTTTGATTGGAAGCAGCACAGGAACAACTCATCAGAAGACCGACTCAATTATCAGCATTCAGACAGCTGAGTGAGTTAAACTAGCTTTATACAGAGGTGCCCTTCTTTCCGACACCTGGCAAGCTTGTTTTCGAACCGGGGCCTTAGTGGTTAACACGAAAGAATGGATCAAGAGGACAATGTTTTGATGATTTTTAACGTGTGCCTTCAAGCAAGCCCAAGAATTTGACGTGGTTTCCAAATACTTAGACCAGAGTACTCTGGTGATATCGAAGCCCTTGGCCAAGCCGTGCTTGGACATGTGACAGTGGAGGGGGGCAGAGCAAGAAAGCTTCTATGGCCAAAGTCGCAGCTGGAGACAAAAAGAGAGAGAGAGAGGGGGAGAAATAGAGAGTTTGCAGACGTTTGCGCATTCACACATGTTGCAAGGTACAGCCAATTAGGCCTATCTCAACAGCCCCTTAACAACTGGGTTTGACCGTCTCTTCCTCACTTTGTAATGGTTTTGTACCTGAATGTCATTGGACCACAAAACACAAGGTGCTGGGTTGTACCCGAGGACTTACAACTTATAACTTATAACCCGAGTTTGAGAAATCACAGTGTCACTGTTTATTCAGAATTGCCCCCAACAAATGCCGTATACCTTATCATTATCGTGTATATATATATATACAGACAAGTATACACCCTTCCGAGGGCGCTGGAGCAGCTGCCTTGTACTTCAAAGAGAAGAAGGTTCGGGACTCGGGTGGGTGAAAAGAGTAGCAAGTGGTTTGTTCGTTTCAACTTGTACAAGCTCGTTTCAAGAGTTTCAACTTGTACAATACAAGCTCTTTGCAAAGCAATGCCAAAGAGAGTAGATGGCACAATCCCCAATGTCCGTGCTGATGATATATTGACAGACGTGACTTCAGGACCTCAGCCACAGGGATCTCATTCGGAGGGTCGCTGGAAAGGTACTCAGTCTTTGCACATGCATTGGCTGCTCTGTGGAGGGGGTTGCGTATATTATATACTATACCTAGAACCTGAATGACCTCTATCAAAACAGGGGTCAATTGGGTTCCAGGTATATATTGCCTTAGAGTCATATATTGTTTGGGTTCTGTGGCCCGAAACATCGTGCCACTTGAACGGGGAAAGCATCAAGAGGTGAGTGGTGAGCACCAGGCCCAAGGGCCCAAGGTATTTTGCTGTTCACCCGTCACTTATTTAGACACTCGCCGGTCAACGAAGACCTCTGTAGTACTGTGTTTGTTCCGTTTAGGTTCACAACAAGTTCCCTTTAGTATTGTTTTCTGTATATTGTATTGCATCTGTAGTACTGTGTATATTGCCTTACGTCGAAACGCAAAAGCTTTTGCAAAAGTCGATCGGAACAGGTGAATCTTCCCATCTTGTCGATGAGGGCCCAGGGGGAATTGGGTTTGTTTCTTGGTCTATCTTATTCGTGTCTTGAACCACGAAGTTCGGCGTCCGCTGTTCAACTTCTCGTGCAGGTCTTCGAAGTCATGGAGGACTATCGACCAGAGAAGGCGCCACATCAGGTCTACAAAGTCATGGACCTCATACAGGAGCTTTCCACGTGGGTTGGGGGGAAACCCGCTTGGAGAACGCCTGGCTTTGAGGGCTCAGGGCTCCCACCGCGCGCGCGTTGGCCGCGCGATCGTTGAGACTTTGCGCCGGACCATAGATGGTTTTTCTCGATTGGTTGGTTGATTAATAGCAGGGGATACTCCTGGTTTTCAAAAACCAATAGCCAATAATATGAGGTCTATGTTACCTGGCATCAGCCGGTCTATTCCCAAGTACAGACATCACTGGTCACACTGACGAGGCTCCAACTGATGTGGTTGGCGAGCAAAAGCCTGGGACATACAGAGTCTTTGTGCTTGGTCTCACTGAAGCCTGGCGATGGAGTACTGAGTAGGCAGCAAGTCTCCGTGACTCTGCTCCCCTGTTTCGGTGAAGCTTGTTGTGTATGTTGGCAGGTTGACTTGCGGTTGTGTTCTGTGTCAGTTTGCATAATAGCCGAAATACAAGGAGGTCTCACACAGTTCCTGACATGAACGTACGTATGCACATACGCACATGCTTGAGAGTGTTGTTTTGCAAACTACAGCGAGCCAACTACAGTGATATAATACATATTAGATCTTTGGGACTGCCGAGTGATGATCCTGCAAAATCGCAAGCTTGTGAATGATACATTATAAGGTGTGTAAAACGACACAAAACCTGGATGAGGGTCAGACTGGAGAGCGTTTTGGGAAGAGGATGTATAGTGATCCCCAAATAGATAGTGAAACGGCTTCCAGTACATTTTGAGTGGGGATTGATTTGGTGGTTGACAGAGATGTGGAGATTCTTGGTGAGGACCACCCACATATGGCCACCTATGTTCTGCCCGGGAGCTGGAGTTCGGACCGAACGCGGCGAAAGGGGGACCCGGCGGAGCTTTGTTCTTCAATCGCACAGGTGTCGTTGATCATGTATCGCACAAGTGTCAGTGAACAGATGGTGTTTGGCTTTGGGTCGCATGCCAACATGGCGAAAAGGACGCCGGACCTCGGCGACAGGACATTGCGATGATGTCCTGTCGGACCGCGCTTAAGAAACAGGTGGAGGAAAGACCGGACCCGGCGACTTTCAATACAAGACCTGTTGGAGGGGTACTGCTATATGGTTGTGTGGTAACATATAGGAAGACCTCCCAGTTTGAGCCCTTCTTCAAGGAGGGAAACAAACACCAAACGCATTTTGGTTGTCTCCGGATCCAAACATCTCACACGCATACTTCTTCCAAGCCGTGGATGCGGATCTTCCTTTGAAGAACTCTCACCACGAAGATTCCAGACTCGATCTTCATGACCGACCAGGACCTTCCAAGCTTTGGTTTTAGATGGTTTTAGACTAATAGCCTGGGCACCTGTCACCAGGTGTTTCCCGATCGAACGAGGGGTCCGAGTATCCATCACCCACGATCTGTTGGCCATTGGTCCAATCTTTGGACGGTTTCTTCACGTGACGAAGATGGCTTCTCCAAGGTTGGCCGTGAGTGTTTTATCCTTCCTGGGTTTGCTCACGACCTGCTGCTGTCGCTCCTCCGGCTATGGCTGGGCAGCCCAGGTGGGTTGAACCCCGTTTTTGGGCTGATCTCAATGTTGACTTCCCTCCAATGCATGCAACAGTTAATCCATTTAGAAGGCTGAACTTTTGCGGCCATGGTCAGCCTGGTCAGCCGTTTGGTTTGATGGCATGGACCAGACTGGAAGACTATTTTCCTCGACAACCGGGTCTCTTCCAGGCAGTGAAGAGTTTTTACAACAGCTAGTATTCAGGCTCTTCAGAGGCCTTGCGGTCTGCCCCCTGCCGAGAATGATGGAACTGGTCCCAGAAACAGATTCTTTGATGTGACAAGCCCTGGTTCACGTCGATAACACGAGAGGACATGACTGCCACGGAAAAGTCAACTTGAGTGAGAAACAAATTTACGGTGAGACCACCAACTTTTGCAAAATGTGCAAGGGGGAAGACAAGAAGCTGCCTATCGCTCAGTCTGAAGAGGAAGCTGCCAGGACCTTCAGCGAAGGAGGGCTTCGTCGAAGGTTCTGACCCTTCCGCGAAGCCCCCCCTCAGTATGTGTAATGTGTTTATGTGTTTTTTTGAATTTTATGTATGCAATATAATATTGTAATCCCCCTGGACATATCCTCTATAAAATCACAGGGGTCATGGTATCCCATAAACTGTTTTATGGTCCCTGCGCAGGGGGGGCGTGGGGGTTGGATTTTATAGAGGAAAGCTGCTTGTATCCAAGAAACGTTCACGTCACGTGGGTTTTTTTGTTTTTAAGTGTTTTCTGGTCACTGCTCAGGCACATGGTGACTGAGGTTGAATGATAGAGACCCATCTGGGGTAGGGCCTGCTCACTTTATACCCCCTAGGGGGTCACCACCATTTCATATCTATAAAATCACTGTCAAGACCCCCTCTGTATGTCCATATATATGTAGTGTATAGATAGATCAGAGCATCCATGTCATCATCGCGGAGCGGACCTTAGTCAATGAGTGGGTAATATGTAGTGGATATTTCATGTGATGCATCTCTTGAACATATCCCAGACACGACCTGTTTGGGACTGCCATATATGCCGATCAGTTGGGGTGGTTTTGGGGGTCAATGGGGCGGCATTTTTGTGGCAGTCCCATGGAGTGTCTGGGTATAGATCTCTTACTGGTGGGGGGGGGGGCACTTCTCCCCTCCACTCTCCAATCAAGATCCGGCGCCCGTGGGGACGATGGTCGTCCCGAGGCAAGAGCAATCGACCCTTGGTCTACGAGTCCCTCACCGAGTGCGAAGCCCAAAAAACCACCGCGAAGCGTGAGCCTGCCGTGGAGGGGCTATATTACAGTATACTAATTACATATTATATATATATATTATATATGTATAAACAGTTTTATCTATATCATTTTGTCCACCCGTGACATGTCGTGACCCCGGAGGGACCTTCGGCTTGAGGAAAGAAGAGCCCGCTCGGCGCCCCGCGGTTGGGGCGGACACTCCGCAATTGGTAGCGGAGCCCGGAAAGCCCGGGCTCCGAAGCCATGGCTTGTTGGTGATCCTGCGGTCAGGATCCGCACCCGTGACATGTCTGCTGCGGCCTCGGAGGCCGCCCCTTTGCGCTTCTCCGGAGAGAATGAGGATGGAAGAGAATACAAGAGATGGAAGACTTGGGTAAAGAACAAGCTCTTGACCCTGGACAAGTTACCTGAAACTGCTCGAGGAGCCTATATATACACGTTGTTGGCTGGCAAGGCCTTGGAGGCTGTTGAACACCTGGATCCTGGCGACTATCAGAAGAAGGATGGCGACCAGGTCCTGTGGTCGTTGCTGGACAAAAGGTTTCCTCAGCTGGAAGTGGTCGATGAGCTTGGTGAAATCCTGGGCGAGGTTTTCAATCTTCGCTCCCAGGAGGGGGAAACGATGAAACAATGGGCTGCCAGAGCATCGGAGCTGTTCGACCGATGCCACAGGAAAACAGGAGTTCAGTTTCCTGACGAAGCCAGGGGCTGGCTTTTGTTGCACAGGGCCAACCTCAGCGAGGAGCAGAAGGCCGTGGTCATTTCGCGTGCCCGTGGAGATCTCAAACGGGAATCCATTGCAGCAGCTCTCCGATCATGCTACCCCGACCTTGTTGTTGGAAAACGGCGAACAGCCGTTGCATTGGCAGAAGAGACCATGGACGATCCGACCGAGCCCCACGATGCCTGGGAAGAAGATTTTTCAGACGTGGAGCGCCTGCTGGAAGACCATCAATCGTCCGCTGATTGGGCCGCTGACACGGAGGCCTACAATGAAGCTGAGGTGGCAGAAGTGTTGGCTGCCACATGGAAAGAGCGTCGACAAGAGCTCAACCGTCTCCAAAAGACAAGACAATTCCAGAAGTCCAAGGACGTGAAGAGAGCATTTCGTGTGGAAGTGGAAGAGATGAAGCGACACACTACCTGCAACCGCTGTGGCCGTCGAGGTCATTGGGCCCGTGAGTGTCGAGCAAAAGACACTCGCAAAGGCAGCAGCAAGGGATACGACAAAGGTCCACCTGCATCAGGAGCTTCTCAACCTTCAGGTGCTGCAGTTGTGGAAGAGCTGGATTTCATTGCAGCGATCATGAATCGCCCGACCTTGTTGGAGCAAGCACGTATGCGGTTTTCCAAGGCTGCTGGTGAGTGGACCCCTGACGAGGTCATGCTGGTTTCCTCACCAGGATTTGGTGTGTTGGATTCGGGCTGTGGTAGGACAGTTGTTGGAGCTTCAACTTTACAGAGCTTTGAAAAGCTGTGGTCTCAGCGTGGCTGGACAGTGCCCTCCAAGATTTCCGAGGTGCACCAGTTCAAGTTCGGAAATGGTGATGTGGAGACCTCCCACTATTCCGTTCAGATGCCCGTCATCCTGGCTAATCGCCGAGGGGTGATCAGAGCTGCAGTGATCAAAGGTGACGCTCCTCTTCTGGTGAGCCGCAGTGCCTTGAAGTCCCTTGGCGCCTCACTGGATTTTCAGAAGGACTGTCTCAATGTTTTTGGTCAGTCTGTTCCACTCAAGACAAATGGAGCAGGACAGTATGTGGTTGATTTGCTTTCCCCCAAAGAAACTCTAGCAGCTGATTTCACGGAAGTCATGACCCTTGAGCCTCATCCTCATCCAGCGAACCGGTCGCCGGAAGCGCCCGAAGCAGACACACCTTTGACTCTCGAGCCATCTGCATCGCCTGCGGCGGATGAGAAGCCGCTAGCTGTTTGGACTCAGGAGAACAGTGATGTGATGGCAACTCCGTGGTTATCTCGTTCAGGGCCTGCATGGAAACAAGTGGTTCGTAGGAAAGTGATTGATTGTGAAACCAACCAAGTTCTTGACGACTCCCCAATCATTCCAGGGAACCCTCAACATCGCACCATCGTCCGCCTTCCTCGAAGAGTTGCTCATGTTCGGACCGAATTTTCATTTTTGGGTGAAACCATGTCCGTGTCCAATGAGTGGCAACCGACCGAGAGAGAGAGTCGACAGTTGGAAAGTCAAATCAAAACTTGTTTGGCCGTTCAGCAACACCCTCAAGATCGATGTCTTGTGATGGAAGTGTTTTCACCTCCACGTTTTTCGCTTGAAGCAGAGAAACATCACTTCCGAGCTCGATCGTATGATCTTAAGAACGGTTGGGATTTTCGCCTGGCTCAACACAGGAGAAAGGTGGAAGATGATCTCATCAACGACACGCCGTCGTTGCTCATTCTGTGCCCTCCGTGTACTCATGAAGGTGGTTGGTTCTGGTTGAATAGTCAGAAATGGGATCCTCACACAGTGTTGCGCATTAAGGCACAGAGCCGAAGCTTTATTCGATGGTGTTGCAAACTGTTCCGAATAGGTGTACAGTTGGGATGTAGGGTGGTGTTTGAGCATCCGACAGGGGCAAGAACCTGGCACTACCCTGAGGTAGAAGGACTCTGCCGACGTTTTCACACAGTGAAGCTTCACATGTGCAGGTATGGTCTTCAATTGCCTGAGAGTGACCGGTACATCCGTAAGAGCACCCGTTTGTTGGTCTCTCATGAAGACATGTCCAGCCTGGGTCTCACATGTGACCAGACTGGAACGCATCAGTGTCATGATGTGATCGCCGGAAGTGCACCTGGTGTTCCTCGTATCAGTACATTTGCTGGTGCCTACCCCGTGAAATTTGTTCAAGCGGTGTTGAATACGATACCTCAGTTTCAGCTAGATCGATCCAAGGCCACCTCGTCATGTGAATGCATCGCTCATGTAGAAGTCATCAATGAAGAAGTCCCCGATGCGTCATGGACAGAGATCCTAGCCGCTGGACAGGTCCGAGACCGCTCTGACAGTGATCTGATTCCGGTTTTGGATAAGCTTCATAGGAACTTAGGTCATCCACCAAATCACGATCTAGTCAGAATTCTTCGTCATGGACAGGCCAGTGAGCAAGCAATACGTTTGGCTAAGGAATTCTCGTGTGATTTGTGCCGGAGTCAGCTCAAACCAAAGGTGCCTCTGCCTGCGCAACCTCATCGGATCACAGAGTTCAACAGTCAAGTCGGTCTCGATGTTAAGCACTTAAAAGGTTGGTTACCTAACCAAAAGGTGAAGGCATTAAACATTGTCGATACTGCCAGCAGTTTTCAACGGGTGATTCCTTTCTTTGAAACAGAAACTGCAAGTGTTTTGAGGAAGTTGTTCACCGACAGTTGGATTTCGTGGGCTGGTGTTCCCAAAGAGATCGTTTTGGACCCTGCCAGAACAAACCTGGGAGATCCGATGGTAGTGCCTGCCGAGCTGGACGGTGTCCAGATCCGTCCGATTGCTGCTGGAGCCCACTGGCAATTGGGAAAGTGTGAAACTCATGGAGGCTGGTTCAACCGCGTTCTAGAGAAGTTGATTGACGAATTTTCTCCATCATCCAAAGAGGAATGGTTAGAATGTGTAGTGCATGCACACATCAAGAACCAACAGTTGCAGGTACATGGTTTTTCACCATACCAATTCGTGTTTGGTCGCAATCCGCATATTCCTCAGGACTTGCTGAATGAACCTCTCCAGGTCATCCCAGCAACAGCTTCCCTGACAGAAGCATCAATTGCCAGAGCTCAAGCTATTCGTACAGCTGCTCGTACGGCATTGGTTCAGATGCAAGACGATCGAGCCCTGCGGGTGGCTCTGCTGGCACGTCCCCGAGTGGAAATGACTTTCAATCCGGGTGATATGGTAGCCTATTGGCGAAACCAAAAGTGGGTTCAGGGTCAGCTCCAACAAGGGGGTCAGTGGTATGGAGTCGCCATCGTTCTCGGTCGAGTAGGTCGCAATGTCGTCATCATTCATCGACGACAAGTGCTGAGATGCGCTCCAGAGCAACTCCGTCTGGCTACTAATGAGGAGAAAACCCTGCTTGCATCGCCCCAAGCTGAATTGTTAGGTATCAAGGATTTGATTGATAGTGGTAACCTCCGAAGTAAACAGTATATAGACCTGTTGCCCCAATCTTATCCCCCACAAGAAGGACCAGTCGAGCCAGCTGTCGATAGTCGTACCGAGCCGGAGTCAAGCACTGTGGTAGCGCCGTCTCAAATGAATGCACCACTCGTGCCTGAGCCGATGTCCACTTCAGCTGTGCCAGAAGACTCTCAAGAAGAGCAAGTGAAGGGTGATCAAGAAATGACAGAGATGAAATCTCCGACACCAGTAGAGGAGACTTCTGACACTCCAAGTTCCGCCGAAACTGCGGCACCGTCGTCCTATGGTCCCATTCGCCGCCGAATCGAAGGGAAGGATGGACCAATGGCACTGTGGCGGCCTCCTGCCTTGAAGCAAACAGATTTTGTTGACATCATGAAAGAGATAGTACCCCAACTTGTTGAAGATGCATGTATGTCACAAAACAAAAGACCGGCATCTCCGTCCGCCGATGAACCAGTGTCGTCGAGGCCTCGCATGGCAGAAGTGTTGAGTGTTGAAGATGTTGATTTCCTCCTCCAAGCACAAAGTGTGTCGTGGGATTGCCTGATGGCAGAATATCTCAAAAAGAAAATGAGCAAGGAACTGCACCACAGCAACAATCCTCCCGACATTCAGGAAAAGGTCCAACTAGGCAAACGTGTGGAATGGGAAACGATTCTGTCCAAGCCTAATTCGGTAAAGATCCACTATGGAGCAAAAGCCGATCGCATTCGAAAAGAGGAAGACCATCGTTTCATAGGGAGTAGATTCGTGTTGACTCGAAAGCCGCTCGAAGAAGGTATGGATTTGGACCCAAATGACAGCACCACATTCACGGTAAAGGGCAGATGGTGTCTACAGGGACACTTGGACCCGGATTTGTCTCAGAAGGCCGAACAGGGCCTGTTGAAGTCCCCTACCTTAAGTCAACTAGGCCGGATGTGTTTGTTTCAGACGATTGCATCAAAGGGCTGGGTACTTCAGTTAGGCGATATAAAAGGCGCGTTCCTAGAGGCAGGTCCACTGAACGATGCATTTCGCCCACTCTACGCACGCCAACCACCTGGTGGCATCCCCGGCCTTCCTGAATCAGCAGTGATAGAAGTGCTCGGAAATATCTACGGACAGAACGACGCTCCGGCGTCCTGGTTCAAAGAATTTAGTTCGTATGTAAAGGGGTTGAACTGGTATCAGAGTGTTCTAGACCCGTGCCTGTTCACGCTTCGAGATGAAGCAGGAGCCTTGGTGGGGATCATGGGCGTGCACGTGGATGATACAGCAGTAGGTGGACATGGACCGGTTTTCGAGGCCTCAATCAAGAAACTTCGTACTAGATTCCCATATAGAAAATGGCGAATAAGCACAGGTGAGTTTTGTGGTGCCTGGTACTCCCAAACCAAAGATGGGGCAATTCGAATGGCCATGAACGCTTTTGCCGACAAGATGCGATCAATCAATGTGCCAAAGAATAGTGCACCAGGTGATCCTTTGACCGACAGTCAAGTCAAAGTGCTGCGTGCCGTGAATGGCAGTCTCGGATGGTTGTCATCTCAGTCACGCCCGGACATCAGCGTCCAGACTAGTCTGTCCCAACAGGCCTTTCCAAAGCCGACGATCGAAGACTTTCGGATGGCAAATCAGGCGATCAGAAGAGCTAAACAGCATAGTGAGTTGGGAGTTGTGTTCAAATCAATTGACCCAGACCAACTGACACTGGTATGCCACAGTGATGCAGCATTTGCTAATAGGGGAAATCATACTCAGGCTGGATATATCATTGGATTCACTCACGCATCCCTGCAAGACGGATTGGAAGCAACCTGGTGTCCAGCATCATGGAAGAGTTATAAACTCCCTAGAGCAGTGAGCAGTACCATGTCAGCCGAGAGTCAAGCACTTGCCACGGCCACTGGGACCACTGAATGGCTACTTTTGATGTTGGCTGAGATTTTTGACGGCCCGCTGACAATGCGATCCTGTCGAGACGTGCTGAAAAGACGCCGACCGATCATCGTGACAGATTGCAAGAGCCTGTACGATCACTTGCATTCTCCTTCTGCCCCCACATCAATCGATGACCGCCGAACCAGTATAGATGTGGTAATAATCCGAGAGAGCTGTAGGGCCATGAATGCTTTTGTGCGGTGGGTACCCACAAATCGAATGCTCGCTGATGCACTCACCAAAAACGATGGAGATCCAATAGACTTGCTTAGATCTTGTATGAAGCGATCTTCATATCAAATCTCGCCTGAAGAAACTGTATTGAAGCATCAAGCACAAGAAAAGGAGTTTCGTAAGAATCTTCAGGCAAACTGTGCCGCTCCGTCGCCTCCAAGCCGGATAGGGGAAGAGACAGATCATGAGTGATCTGCATTTTTGGGGTTTAGGGTTCGCATTGATTGTTTGGGAAGTCACTGTGATCAGTGAAGGGAATCAATGTTCTTTTTTTGCCGGCTTCGACCTTAGAATGCAGCAGGTTGTGTCTGTGGCCATTTTGCATCCAGAGTTTCAGTGTTCGTATCACGCCGTCTCACGACTAGACCGGGTGTTGTGTTTTGCAGTTTCCTCCCGACCTAGACATGGCCGGTGCTCCAGCTCAGTTGTCCACAGTGGCTAAGGAGCTCTTGACTAAGGTGAAGGAAGAAGGTTCGGTCCATCTGTTGCTGAACGCTTTGATGGAGCACGAAACCAGTGAATTTGAGTTTGTGCCCTCTGCTGGATACAGCCTGGACAGTGGTGCCATGAATGACTCGTCCAAGCGTCGCCTGACCGCTGACTCGAGTCAGGCCCCACATGTGCATTCCCAGAGGCCGATCGTGAAGATGAGCTCCCAGGACCAGGGATCGATTCCTCTCCCCAAGGGCATCACCTCGATGGACCATTGGGGTAAGACCTTGATCACTTCAGGAAAGCTGTCTAAGCAGAACCTCAGCTATGAAGACCTTGCAAGTTCACCTGAGACGGATTTGGTGAACTACAGTCGATGGCTCATGGCGCAGAAAGACCGCGCCAACATGTCGCCACCCATCAAGGACCTCATTGCCTACTTGCTGGCTTACACGGAGTTGGCTGAGGGGTCGACTGAACGATTCCCAGACAGCACGATCCCACGGAAGTTCAAGAGTTGAACTGCCGACGATTTGAGCTGGACATGAGATGGCTGCATAGCTTCATGTGCTCCTACATCCAAAGATTATTATGAAGGCGGAGAATGTACCCGTAGGAGCCATTTTTGGAATTTGAAGATTTGAGACCAGTCATTTTGTCCACCCGTGACATGTCGTGACCCCGGAGGGACCTTCGGCTTGAGGAAAGAAGAGCCCGCTCGGCGCCCCGCGGTTGGGGCGGACACTCCGCAATATATATATATATATGAGAGAGACTGAGACTGAGATACTGAGACATAGGGAGCGTGATGTTCAAAGTGAGAGTTTGTAAAAAACACAACGAACATCTGCTGAAGACGATCAATTGAAGTTCAGCGTTCTTTGCTCACTGAGACTTCTAAACTCAGGAGGGCGTGTCTTTACCGAACCTTTAGCCTTTCCCGAGGCGCGTTTGGTGCTGCGCAGCGCGCACCACCAGCCGGATGCAGGGAAGACATGATGACGCAAGGAGAGCGAGCCAGTGGAGTTGTCTGGAGGTTAAGGACATTTGGTTACTGTGGTTTGAGAGGTTCGATGGCACAATTTACCCCAAGTTCGGTGGTTTAGAAGGAGCCCCATATAAAAGACCTCTTGGGGTGCCAGTACCATCTATTCTGAAACCACTATATCTGGGTGGTGGCTTCAATGATTGTTGTTTTCAATCTGCGATTACTTGGTGTGTTTCAACCTATGGACTTATGCTTTTTGTTCGTGACTTGCAACCACCAACCAGTCTTGATTGAAAGAACATGGTTTCATTGAGCAGAAGGTGGGTTGAATCAGTGTTTGGTAGCAGTTGGGACCCAATCATGGGATGCTTAGCTTGTTGGAGTTGGTTTTGTCCGAAACCATCATGTTTGTTGGTTTCCTCACCTGATCTCACGCATGATTTGGTGAACAGATCCACATCCCTCCCCTCCACCTTTTTAAGAGGGTACATGGCGCTTTCTGGGTGAGGGCTCCAGAGTGGATCCTGTGTGCGTTCCAGACAAAACGCACGGTGGTCGCCGGCAGCGGTTCAGGGCACCACTGGTGACCACAGGGATGATAGAAACGAACCGAAAAAAAACGTTGATGTAGACTCTTGATGTATCAATCCCCCTGGGGGGGCCTGCAAAAGTAAAACCATTCTGCAAATAGACGTTGTCATTCATTCATCAGTATACCGATACCATTTGGTGGCGCAAAATGCCTTCATCATGCCGAGGCACCGCTGCGCTCTCCCCTTTGGAGGGCACAGTTTAAAGATTGGTTAGCAAAGTTGAAATCTGAAACCCATTTGAACCAAAGAGAACCCAAGACAGGGATTTGAAGGTCAACTTAGCATGGGCTTCGCTTGGAGTTCACTCATGAGGGCTTCTTTAATGAGGCAAAGCCAAGTGTCACCCAAGTCTTAGTCGAGGCTTGCCTCAACAAACCCTTCTATAAGTATCTAGTGGTTAATAAATCAAGGCTAAGCTCCCGTCCAACCTATAGATCTGATATGGAAGTTTAAAGGAAACACGAGTTCGGCAACGTATCACCTGGGTGAGAAGTGTCCTTCTCACGTCCGCGGCATCCGAATCTGAGGGGCATCCGATCGGGTACGTGCCGACGGGTGGATGCCCAGAAACTGCTGGACGCCCAGGACTGCTTGCTGTGCATATCAACCCCTCCAGCAGCTGGAGACAGGAGACCAGCTCCGTGGACGATCAGCGCAGATACCGTGGGAAAGGAGTCATGTTGGTCTTGCTCGTTTGGAAAGGTTCCTCCTGGATCTTTAAAGAGAAGACATGTTCAGAAACCCCGTGAAAAGTCGAGGTCTGGACAGCCAAGAAATAGCACTTCAACTCACGCTTCCAAGAGCAGGTTGTGAAGCACTACTATACATACCCTGGGCGTATGGGATTGTTGAAAAGGGTGATCCACTCTTTGGGGCTGATACCGGTCGTCAGCACACACCAAGTGAGCCGTCTTTTCTGCCCTTTCAAGAGAGCCCCCTTAGTTGATAGCTTAACACCGCGGCTGTACAGAAGGTGTACTACGTACTTGAGAGCCCCAAACACCCTTATATGTCTTTGGGGCTGCGGTGTACGAACGCAGACATCTGCGGAGTCGTGCGAGCTCGGACGTGTCTGACGCGACGGGTGCGAAGACGTGGCGAAGACTCACGATATCCTGCCACCTGAAACGACTGCTTTTGTTGTTGGTTGTTTCTTCAAACGACCATATATATATATGTTTTAAAACGACCATGAAAAAAGGGTCTTTTCTTAAACGACCGTATTTTTGTCAAGTTATGATGGTGTTCAAATATTACATCATGCACAATGCATATCAAGCAGTTGATTTTTGAAATCGTTTACGACCGTATATTTCTGGAAACGACCGTATATCTTTATTGAACCACGACCGTATGCAAACCGTATGCAAACTGTATAAAAACGTATAAACACGTATACTTATCCGACCATATTTTTAATATAACTGCAAGATAAAACGACCGTATTTTTGGAAACGACCAACCGTATTTTTTGAAACGACCAAAAAATGCAGTTGTTTCGGGTTGCAGGATTGTATCTGCAGTGATGCGTACTGGAGACGACCCTGGGTAGTGGTGATTTGCAATGTGACTACTCCAGATGAGGTTCTCACTGCGATGGGATTTCTCGATGGGAGAACATCCCACAGCTCTTTCGGAACATGAATGTTCAGGGGTTTTCGATATGTTTCGCAACGGTTCAGTCTACGGGGTTCAGTACCACTGTCACAGATCAAGAGCTTCTCCACATTTCGGAGACTCGTCCGCTCTGTGTCTCCATGCTCTCAGTGCCTCCCACCACATGCCCGGCCAAGCCCCATGCCCACGTGATTGGACGTGGATCACCTCCACGTCCCACGCCCGCGGTCCTCGGTGGAAAGGAGGCCTTCATCGGCGCTGGTTCCAACGCGCGAACCGCCGGCGGTTCGCGAGCGCCTCGTGAGTGAGGCGCTCGCTCCACCGGTCAACCGCTAGGAGCTGGCGAGCCGCTGATGCCCAACGCCAGCGAGCTCGAAGGAAGGCGACGGACCCGAGTGCCTGGACGGACCGGTGCGGCCGGAGGGAGGATTGACACCGGTTCCTTCTTTTGGGGGGGGTCATGCACCATCTTGAGTGTCAAGCTGCTTGGTTTCTCGGCTTTTCTTCTTGGTGCACTCCTGTTTGGGAACACATGATCAAGACCAGTTGGAATCACCACAGGGAATCATTGATCCATTAAGGATCCGTTTGGGGGACCATCCAAAACTCCAGTGAGACTATTGGCAGCTATTGGGAGACTGCAAGTTTTGAAAGGAGCTTTTAGGGAGAAACGGCGACATGGACCCAAAGATTGTACCGAAACATGGCTGATTTATGCTGATTTCATATACTGTACAATATTATACATGAAACATTTAAAGCAACAAAAAATACGTGCAAGTGCGTAAACTTGAATGGAACTTCCACCGCCGCCGTTGTCAACACTAATTATTGTTGCTGCTTCGCTCACTGTCCCTTGCCTCCGGTCATTGCAGTCTTCAGAAGCCCTTATTTTCCAACTCAAAGCCACTGCTGGTTAGAGATCCGATGGACTTAGGCAAAGGTGAAGATGGAAGTCAAGAGGTTCTGACAGCAGAACTGTTGCCAATCACCCACGCCCCCGCGCTGGCAGCGAATCTCAGTTCGTGGCCGTCTTTGACCGCATATCCAAACAAAACTTGCAAGGTGGCACTCTCAGGCGTGCCTCAGGAAGGTGACGCACAAATACAGAAAGACGAGAGGGCACAGCTCCCCTCGCACGGAACAGCTCCAAACTCTGCCCAAAAAGTTTGTCAACGACAGGCATCCATCGGGGCTGGAGACCTGCTTGCGCTGAGCCCGGTTCCGTGAAAGGAGGCGTCAGTGGCCAGTTGGAAAGAAACCAAGACTATTGTTGCCGCGCACCAGGCGCTCTTCTTTTAGCTCTTTTTGCCACACTATGTCCACGTGAAGGAGCATCCGCTGGGTTTGATTCAGAAGGAATATATATATATATACACAGCCGAGGAAGAAGGTCACAAGCCAAGGTTAAGGCAGCCGTGCTTCGCAACACTCTTCTCAGCGCTCTTGCTGAACTTCTGCCCTTACTCATGCACCCTATTGCCACCTTGGCGTCCAACAGCACCACTGCTCGGTGATGGTGACGCTTGGCACTTCTACTCACCCATTTCAATTCCAGCAGAACACCGTGGCATTCAAGCAATCCAGAATGCGCTTGTCGCTTGGCCTTACAAGACATCAGTGTCCTGAAGCTGCACTTGCTGATAGGTAAGCGGTGCTCGTTTCCAACGCGCGGCACTTCAGGCGTCGCAGGGTCAGGAACCAACCGGACATAGTCACCACGCCGCTCTGCAAGGCGCCAAACCCAAATTCTGGGGCAGCATCGCATGCCAGCAACTCGTCTAAGAAAGGCCTGTCGAGGCCAGCTGGAAATAGAGGTGACAGGGCAAGAATTGTCAGGAGCTCTCCGCTGACACTGCTGGGGAGCCCGTGAACCACATTTGGCTCTGCCCTTCTCACAAAAGCATAAACCTCGTCAAACACGCTGAACATGCTGCGCTGCATGAGACAAAACCACTGCAGCACACCCAAAAGCGAGTTTAGAGCGCGAGGGTTCGCGCGCCCTTGCTGGAGCACATCACACAAAGCTAGAACGGTGTTGGCTAGCTTGCCTCTTGCTGGCTGCACCAACGGAGGGGAGCTGGTGAGGTCACAGCCAAGCCCTGTCATGGAAGGAGTCAAACTCACATCTTTAGATGCATGCTGCATTCTTCTTGATTCCATGCTGCTGAAAAACGGCATCTATTCTTTGGAGCGTCCGTTTCCCCTGCTCGCACTCTTGTGGAAGAACAACAAGTCATCCATGCAAACAGGGCACAGCTCGTCTTGTTGCTGGGGCATCTCGTGGTCCAAACTCAAGATCTGCGATTCCTTTACTCCAGCTTTGATCACGCACCCTACTGAACATGCTTGCGCTACGCATGGCGACCAGCTGAAACCCATAGGCCAAACCACATTGACAGGGAAAAGCAAACAGTCTGGAAGAAGTGAGCGGTTTTCGAGGCCGTCTGTAAGGGCGGTCACATTTGCAAGGCTGAAGCCCAGACTGATGAGCTCCTGGACGGTGAGGGGCGCTTGGCCGAACCATGGTTGCAAAGGACCTGGAACAAGTAGTGTGTCAAAGTGCTGGCATCTCTTTTTGACAGGAACAGTTCCTCACCAGGGTTCACAACTATGTCAAGGAAAGAGCTTGGGTTGGCCAATCGGTGCGGCGGCGGGGGATCAGCGGCAGCTGCTGACAGAAAGGCCCCGTCCCAAGTTTTCCGTTGCCTGTGCTCTGTCTGCTTTGGCGCCGCGAAAACCCGGGCTTGAGCTTGCACACTAGGCCGGAGACGCAGCTTGCCACACCGCAACTCCCGAGCTGTGAGTTTGAGGTACTGTGCTCTGTGTTGCCCGCAAAGGTCGTCTTCCAGTCGACCATCATGCTCGCTAGGGAACACGAGGGCAGGTCTGGTAGGTCCACGTCATTTCCCCTCGCAGACTGGTAGCGGGACCTGTCATGCACTTCAAACTGGTGAAAGGCTCCTTGCCAATAGAATGATTGACCCAAAGCCGAATCCAAATTGGACAGGAAAAGCTCAGTCCGCTGGGCAAGATGCTTGTGCACCGAGGTCTGGGCAGAATTGCACTGCTTCGGGGTGCGAAACTCGCACGGCGGCTGCTTAGGCATACCCTGCTCCAAGAGGTTGAGTGTGGCCACCAGCAGGTTGGCGCATAGCAGGTGCACCTCTTGCACTGCTTGGCTGCACTCCAAGTCACGGGGCCATGAGGAAAAGCGGGGCAAAGGGAAAATGTTCTTGCTTGGGGGCACAAAGTGGCCTGCAAGCTCTGTGCGACGCATCCCCCTGAAAAAAACCGCCAAACACAAGTCCGACCTGTCCAGAAAATCGTTCAAGAACTGGCCAAACTCCAAGATGGCTGACCAAGTTGGCTCAAGGCTGCGTACAGGCCTCTGTGGCACTGCTTTCAGGACAGGAGCCCTGGTCCCCGAAGTGCTTCCGGTAACAGCGGTCTTCAGACATGTCCTTCCACACTCCTGGGGACCAGCGCTCCGGTCGCAAACAGTGCTCACCTTTTGTGCTGGGCCTGTAGCCAAGCAACGACGGACAGCACACCGTAACCTGTGGAGCACCATTCTGTGCCTGTTTCTCTGGCACCGGGCTGGAGAACATCTAGGGGCAGCTTGGTTCATGGAAGGTCGTTGTGCATTGAAAAGAAGATCCACCGTATCCATTCCCTTCGGGCGGCAGGAGGAACCGCCATAAAGGCCCCCCACCTCAGCGGGGAAAAGGCACAAATCGCGCCCCCATGGCACCACCTAAGATAAACCTGGCAACTGGAGCTTGGGAACGAAAAAGCTGAACGTGTTGCAGCTGCGCGTGCCACTGTCCTGCGCAAGTGCTTCCTCAGGTTTGAAACATTTTGCTGTTTCATTCAAAACTGCTCGAAGTTTAGAAGAGTTGTTGTAACGATGTTGATGGTTGTCGCTTCCTCGCAAGAGAGGAGCAACTCTTCCGAACGCGTGTTGGTGCTTTTATTGAGTCATCGCTGTGAGGTTCTGGGATCAGAATGTATAGGAGAACTAATTCAATTATTATATATCAAATTATTGAGCTTTATCCCAGCAGGAACACAAATTGCTAGAGCACACAGCTGGGACCCATCCATGGTTGTATGTAGTAGTGGTTCCGGAGGATTACCCACCTGGAACCAGCCACACAGGGATGCGCCAGGGAGGGATGCACAGGGTGTAATGTTGGAGCCTGATTAGTAAATAGGTCCTCTATAATGCTAATTTTCCAAATTTATTCAGACCCCCCTGTTTGAAAAATGGTTCCTCTATAATCCTAAATTTTGTTAGGCCCTAAATTTTTAAATTGGAACCCCAATTAATAAGGGTTTGAATTCCTCCTGAGGCCAATGATTATGATTCATTAGCTGATATAGCTTTCTCTAGGTTTCTTCAAAATTGACAGCTGACCAAAACCACCAATTCCTAATTGAACCCTTTATAAAACATTGCTCCTAAACAAATTTTCAAGGTAGTAGACCAGGAAGGCACCTGATCCTCAATAATAAACTTGTCTTTGGGTCCTCAATTGTGAAAAGTTTTTTCCACTGGACCAAATGCGCATGGAATCTCCCTTTACTTAGCTCCTGAGGCCAATGATTATGATTCATTAGCTGATTTTGCTTTCTCTAGGTTTCTTCAAAACTAAGGAAGAAGCTGAAAGCTTGGGGCTTCTCTTGAGCTGAAGATCTGAGGCTGCAAAGCAAAAGGATTGCTGAGAACAATTACAAAGCACCTGAGAAAGGAAGCCGAATACAATCTATGAAAGTAAATTTATGGAACATTAGTACTACAATCAATTACAAAAAGGAATTCTCACAGGAATCCAGATTTGTTTTGGTGATAGTTTATTATAGTGGACTCCCTGTTTGTTTGAGGGGGGGCCTATTTACTAATCAGGATCGCACATTAAGCACCAAAAGACCATTCCATAGCCATTTTGGCTCAAGCTTTTGGTTGCGTATCAGCTTCTCTTTCTGACCTTCGCTACTTTCGAACTTTGCTCCCATCTCGTCGCGATGGCCGCATTCACGCTGCAGAACATCGGCCAGCATGCCCAGGACATTGTGCTTGACAATGGTGTCGCGTACTCCCTCGTGCGTGGGGGGACTCAGACATACGTGTCCGACCATTTCCGTTGGATGCCAGCCAACCTCAACCACACTCACCTGTGGTTCTTGGCCAGCCAGCTTTCTCAGGGAGTCGATGTGAGCTTGGCATTCGTCGGCTTGGGCCTGCGCACGGCCATCGAAGGAGCGGTGGCAGCTCATCCGACTCATTTGGTCAAATGGGTCCCAATGGTGGGCCCCAGCACCTGCGAGCTCGGACTATGGAAGGGGGCTTGTCACCAACGCGAACAATCCAGCTCTCCAGTTGAAGGCCTCTGAGGTGCACACGGCCGATTCGCTCTACAGCTCCATCAGGGCTCAAGAATAGCCAGCTGCGAGTGTCATCTGGAGCGATCTTGAAACCCCAGTGACAAGAAGTCACGATAGATTTTCAGCCATTCGTGCACCTCCATCGCCGGCGTGGCATAGAAACGAGCGAGCCAAAAGAAAAAAGGCACGACTCAGAGTGTGGGGCCTCAGAATAAAGGAAAGAAGTTCAAGGACCCAATTCCAAAGCAGAGTGAGAGCTCTACTTCTTTTGAGGAAGCACCACAGCTTGCCGCAATACAAACAAGATTTAGAGATGGCATGGAGAAAGAATGCAAGCCAAGAATGGCAGACTCGAGCACAAGCAAAAGGCAGCTACCAGATGCCAAACTACGACGGCGCTGGTTTCTATACTTTGTCTTGCGGATCTGGTGCTGCTCGCAAACACGGTCAGGCCAAGACCTCAGCAGAGCAGGAAAAGACGATCTCTGCGGCAGAGCTGAAAGAAGGCCTTCAGAAGATTGCGAATGGTGGTACTATACCGACGGCTTGGGAAGAATACATGTCAGACGAGCCGACGCACAAGGATATCCAAAAGCAGTTGACCACATACAAACGATTGATGGTTCCTCTATAATCCTAACTTTTTGGGGCCCTAAATTTTTAAATTGGAAACCCAATTAATAAGGGTTTGAATTCCTTCTGAGGCCAATGATTATGATTCATTAGCTGATATAGCTTTCTCTAGGTTTCTTCAAAATTGACAGCTGACCAAAACCACCAATTCCTAATTGAACCCTTTATAAAACATTGCTCCTAAACAAATTTTCAAGGTAGTAGACCAGGAAGGCACCTGATCCTCAATAATAAATTTGTCTTTGGGTCCTCAATTGTGAAAAGTTTCTCCACTGGACCAAATGCGCATGGAATTTCCCTTTACTTAGCTCCTGAGGCCAATGATTATGATTCATTAGCTGATATTGCTTTCTCTAGGTTTCTTCAAAACTGAGGAAGAAGCTGAAAGCTTGGGGCTTCTCTTGAGCTGAAGATCTGAGGCTGCAAAGCAAAAGGATTGCTGAGAACAATTACAAAGCACCTGAGAAAGGAAGCTGAATACAATCTATGAAAGGAAAATTAATACTACAATCAATTACAAAAAGGAATTCTCACAGGAATCCAGATTTGTTTTGGTGATAGTTCATTATAGAAGAAGACTCCCTGTTTGTTTGAGAGGGGGGGGCCTATTTACTAATCAGGATCGCACATTACGTCTCATGGCATGACTGGAAGTGCAAAAAAGCAGGGAATGACCAGTCAGTGCAAACACAGAAATGCAGTCAGTGTGGATGATTGCAAACATTGGCGAGGTCGTTGTTGTCTCTAAGGCTTTAGCCGCTGGTCGTTGCTTCATTTGATGTCGCAATAGTGCGAGAGTGGCCGTTCGACATCGGAATCTGACGGGGCACATCGGAAGGACACATGGAATCGAGTTTTGCTGGAATTTGACTGCTTTGAAGTTAAATACTTGTTAAAATCATATATATATATATGGTTTTGATGTGGTTGGATGACATCGCCCCCCGTTTCTATCCGTTTCTTTCGGATGACCAAGAAACCCTCACCTCATACCAAACAGGTGGCGAGTGGTTTTCCACGTCCCTAGATTTTTTGGAGTGCCAAGCTTCCACATGTTAAGCTGGTTAGTCGAATAACCCAATTGCCAAGTTTGGTGCCGAATGGAGCGTCATATGTTTTCCAACCTGGTCACTTGCTGTGTGTCACAACACGTGACTGTCTTCCTGAACGCTTCGCAGGTAGACCGGGCGAAAGGTGACCGGGGTAGCGTGGCTGGAGTGTTCGTGGGATAGCAATGCTTGGAGCTGTGGACGTGGGGTTTCTGGTATGAAGGAACCCTTGGGCCACTCAATCATGTTTATACGGTTTATAGTCGTCCACGTGGAGACCCAACATCAAAAACATGGGACCCAAATAATTTGCAGATCATTTGTCACTGACGCAGTTGGAATGTTTGTTCGTGAGACTTATAAGAGCTGCTACAGACGTGTATCGTTCTGAAAATAAACCCAAGACGATTTTCATATATCAGAAAATCATTTTGTTTTGTTGCGTCGCGACTCCTGAGAATCGTTCAAACTACGCACCGTTTGCAACACTTGGGCTTAGTTGTACCGGACACAGTCGGACGCATGGTATTGCTTGATCTAAGGCCCTTTGCACTATTTTGACTTGAACATTAACAACTGCCAAAAAGGGCAGGCCGAGGCTGAACCCTTTAGAGGCAGAAACTACATTGGTGAACTGCGGGATGTGTGATGCCCCATGTTCCTGACCAAAGAAGCCACGAAGCACACGTTTCAAGTTTGTTTTTGTTAATGCCAAATCCTCAGGTTTGTTCTGCGCAGAGCAATGCAGCATGTTGAACTGTTGAAATCATCCACTACGCAATATTTTTTGGAAACCATGCGCCCAAAGTGTTTCAAAGATCTTGGACGGGGTCAATATTTGGGCAAGATCTGATATTAGTTGTCAATTTGCAGAAGTCCTGCCCGTCTCGTGGAACTAAATCCGACATGATCACCACGAAGAATGTTACAAAACATATATGTCTTACAATGTCTTAAGCATATATATATATATATATATATAGATCTGAGGGTTTCCAGGAACTTTCGAGAAGGATCCGCGGGATGAAGTTTGCTGATGGGTGCTCAACAAGACAAACACCCAGAGGTGGACGAAGAATTGATGATTCTGATGAATCCTCACATGTCCAGGCTTCAGGATCTCTTAGCCTTCATTTTTCTTCTCTGGGCGTCCTCTTTGGCCAAACGCGGACGTCTGGCCACCTTCAATGAAGGGTGGAACACCAACCGGATCAGGTCCAAGTACCTCCAGTTGACCGGATCGGGTCTTTGAGTATATACATCGAAACGGTTCGATTCGAAAGCTTGAATCGGAAGGTCTTGTACCTGGGAGTTCGGAAAGATGGCTTGGCACAGTCAGGTCGCAGTCAGGAAACGTCTGAGATCTGTTGTGTACTTGATGTTGGTCAGACTCTTCCCTGCAGGAAAACACCTATAGGATATGGGGGTACTCCTTGAAGTGATCACGCAAAAAAAAAACATGCTTTCAGGCATGGCTGTGGCATGTCATGACACATGTTCAATTTACTGAGTAAATCGACATCAACCGACCAACAGGTGCGATCCACATGGATTCTTTCAGGGTCTGTTCGACGGTTCGAAGGCCTTGGCGGCCTCGGAGTCACAGCACTTGGCCGCTTATGGGGTCGTGACCACCAAGTGCGAGTCACAGCATCAAAAGCCGGGGTCGTGCTAAAATTGACTCCTTGGGGGGAGGGTTGAGGTGGTCCCCCTTTGACGCAACCCCCATCAAGAACCAGCTGAGAAATTCCATGTTCCATCCCTTTCAACCCAGCTGAGAAATTCCATGTTCCATCCCTTTCAACCCTGGACGAACGGCGGACGAAGGGTGAACTGCGACCTGCCCGGGACCTCCGAAGTGAACCTCCCAAGGAGGTCGAGTGGAGCCTTACCACGGTCGGCCGTGGCAGTACATCGTAGCAGACCATTTCGCCCCTCTCGCACCCATGTCGAGCGCCGAAAAGGGCGGTGCAGCCTGAGTGACCTCGATCCGCTAAGGGATGCGTTGTCCTTAAGATAGACCCTCGAACGTCCATATGGTCCATACCAGCTTCTTCCAAGTGGCCTTTTTGGAGTCCCCAAGTCGACCTGTCACAGGCCCGTTTGTGACCGAACCAACCAGGATGTCAAGTTCGGTCACGTTGAAGAACCATAAATGGAGTCAAGTTTCGCAGGACTGGGTCTTCAAGGATTAAGAACATCCTTATAACCTCTTCATGTCCTTCAAGGAGTCCAAGTTCAAAACACCTTTCGCCAACCTCGTGACCTCGTGACCTCGAACTGGAGTCGTATACGTGACCGTCCTTACATACACGGGCCGGATCCTTCGTGACTTCGTGGATCGGATCTGGTCTCAATGGTCCTGAGTGAAGGGTTCCTAGAAGTGCTTCTGTTGAAAGCTTTTGTTGCTTCCCACGTCCCAGATCAAGCACCCTAAATGACGACGACGGAATCGAGTTGGTTCACCTGCGGAGTCCCGCACCAAGCGTAGCGTATAGGGTGGTGTTCTTGCGGCGGAATCATCACAAAATGCCGTACTGTACCAGGACCCTCCAAGGGATGTCTATTTATGGCCCCTTGGCTGTTAAGGGATTAACCACCCCTTGAAGGCCTGGTACCTGACCTTACTATAGTTCGAATTCAAGCCCTGGACCCTCCCTTCGATCGGTGTTGCCACGTCCAACCCAGGTCCACCAGCCTCGCACCGCTTTCGATGTTTTCGGCTCGATGTCGGTGCTTGAAACAGCGTAGATGAAGCAGCTTCGGCTCGATGTCGGTGCTTGAAACAGCGTAGATTCAGGCTTGTGCTTCCATAACCGCTTCAAGTAGCACCGCTTGAACAGTAGACCTCGGAAACCTGGAAACCATAGAAAACCATAGAAAACCATAGTAGCCCCAACAAAACCTACATAGTTCCCATCAAAACCTGGAAAAATCCCACCAAAAACCACAACTTTCCCCAGCAGCACTGAGCTCATTTTTGACCTCTCTCAAAGCTGGATCAGTGTCAGCATGTCACCTGACAGGGAGTTAAACAAAGAACATCCTGGTTTGTTTTCAAACATTGAAGCCAAATAGGCCCACCAGATAACTAGATGTGATTTAAAAAAACAATCAATAGTTACCTTACTTACAACATGTGATGGGTTCCAATCAGTAGCCATCATTGGCCATTGTTCCTTGAGCCTGCCAAAAAAAGGCTGAGTGAAGACAAAGGTCTTCTTGAGCCTGGTTTGAGCCAATGCTTGAGCTCTTGAGCCAATGATTTGAGCCAATCATATGTGCTATATTATATCATACTATTGTGGTCATTGTCTTGGACAATTTCTTCACATAATGCTTCAATATCTCTGGAAGAGGCTTTTAATTTAAGCCTTGAACCGCTCTTTGGAACCCTGTTGTTTGTGTATACTCATTTATTGAGACAAGGTGCTTTCCAAAAGCATGCTTTAATATTCGTGGACATGGTTTTCCAAGCCTTGAACAAAACACAAGTTGACCACACAGGTCCTGACTCTGTGTAAATAAAAATAAAGTCATGTATTGAACAAAACACAATGGCCCTTTGGAGGCAGCACCTTCAGCACCTTCATAACAACAAGTGATCCTCTTAGAGGGTGTAAATAAACACACATCAGCGCTGGGATACCACTGTGGTCACTTCACTGCCACTGGGGTTCAAAGCCTGGCCTTTCCCAGAGCAACATCTGGCAAACAGCCATTCTGCAGTACAATTTGAGCAGCATCTTGCTTGGCAAGGTTGCTGGTAGAGCTCTGCAAACACTCAAAGGGTGGGAGGGTTGTGAAACAGCTTAAGCTTTCAGAAAATAGTTCCAAGGCTGGGTGGGTTGTGGAAGGTGAAACTTCCAGGAAAGCCACAAGAGTGTGACCTCTGAGGGCTGTGAAACAGCTGAAGCTTTCAGAAAATAGCTCCAAGGGT